GTGTTTCTTGATATATATATATATATATATATATCAAGAAACACCGGTGGAAAATGATCATCTGTTGTATATGTCTTCCACCCTGTTCGTGAAACTTTAATAAAACGCAATAAAATTTTAATTTCAATATTATTTTTTTAACGAAACCTTATATCGCTGCGTTCATTTGTTTTCTTTTATTTATATATTACAATATGTGAAATTGTCTCTTTTTTTTTTCTTTTTTTATAATGAATTTTTATTTATTAGGCAAACAAAAATATCGTTTCTTTTTGTCATCAAATAATTATATTTCTAATGTTGAAAATGTTTAATTATTTTTCTTTTTTTTTTTTGTATCTTTTCACAGAATTGTCCATTTCGCACGAGGTTCGCTGTTATTGCAATCAACCGGATTGCGTACCACAAGGATACATGTGCCGTGGTAAAAGTTGCTTCACCGAAATACGCCCGAACGTTGGATCACCCTTATTAAGCACGGAACATATTACGTATAGCGGTTGTTTCGATCAAAATTTCAAGGAACCGCAATGTCCAGCAGGATTTATATGTTGCGAACAGGATCTTTGTAATCACGTAGACAGTCCTGAAATGAGGAATACGCTTAACAAGACTATACAAAGTAAGTTTTCATCCTTTTCTCTTCTATACAATTATCAAATCCACGCATATTAAAAAAAAAAACATAATATATTCATAAATAATATTATTTTTCTAATATATTCTATACACACACAAATAGGATTTTGATTATCCAATAAACGATAATAATTACGAATTTACTATAAAAATATAATATTTAATCACATTCCTGATTATTATTATATATTATTCAAGTACTTCTTTTTTAGAAAAACTTTTTACATCCATTTACCTTTTCTTGTTTTTTTTTTACTTAATCCTATTAGTTTATCTTCTCTCTTCTTTCGTTATCTCTAAAAATTATATAATAAATAAAATAATGTTTTTTTTTATATTTAGTGATATTGGATGAACAACGAGCGTATCTAGGACCAGTACAACCAACCGGACACGGAAGTCAATCTTCGGATAACTGGTTTAAAACCGCGACGATAGCCGTTCCAATAGGTGGAATCATTGCTCTGTTGATCTTGGCCAGTCTTGCAATCAGATTTCTAAAGCCAGTACCTCTGCAAAGCGACAAACTCGGAGGTCACAGAACGGCAGATAACGGGCCACCATTACTGGGACCAGCTAAAGTGCCTCTCGTTTAAAATAAGAAGAAAAATTATACAAGAAAATAAACAACATGACGAAGAAGAAGAAGAAGAAGAAGACAACAACAAGAAAAAACAAACAATGAATTTCATTTTGCGATCCAAAGACACTTGTTTATATATATATATAAAAATCGCTTAACCTAAAGCGAATTTAATTAATTAAGTAACTATAACATATATTTACATATGTAAGAAGCTAGCGAGCTATACTTGGCTCTACTTGGCTGTGAATCCTTTCATGGGAAGCGTCTTTTTAATTGTAAATTATGATTGATCATACACACCGTTACTCGACCCCCAACCTCTCCCACCCTGCCCCCTGATCCTCTTACCGTCGCATTTTTTTATATAAATACGCCTGAAAAGGCACGATTATTTTGTAAAGTAGATAAAAAATTGAAAAAGGGAGAGAGAGAGGGAGCGAGGAGATTAAAAAAGAGAGAGAGAATGTGTATGATAGTGAGAAATGGAAACGTTTGAAGTTACATATTGTAACAAGATGAACATTTTCGGTAGCGTTAGATGACAAACTTGTAAATAGAAGATTAATTTAGTAACATTACTTCGCTATTGATTAGCTATCATGAAATAATCTTTGAAATAATGCATATATGTGTATAATATTGAGCTATGCAACAATGCGATAGAAAATATTTGAGAAAGCTCGGTCTTTCGATATAAAAATAAATAAATAAAAATGAACAACTCGGGTTTATTGCTGCTGCTGTTGTTGTTTGTTGAGATGTTGTTACGAGTAAAAAATAACGATGAGATTGTAATTTTACGATTGTGCCTTTTTGTGTAACAAAAAATGGAAGAACAAAAATATAAAACGGGAAGATAATACGATAGACGTGAAAGACAGAAAACAACGGAAACGATGGATACTTGCCGATATAAACTAGCCGAGAAGAAAAAACAATACAATACATACTGGCATTTTTGCAACGTCCGATCATTGATCGTACAACGCGTATTTACCGGACATATTTCTATATGTATTCCATTATAAACATTTATATTGTGATATAGTATGACTTAATATTATTATGTAAAGTTATTATTATTAGACAGACCTGTAATATTGCGCGAGTTTCATCGCATTATTTCATCGTGATTCAAATTATTACATCACACAAACTCGCGAAAGGGATTATTAATAATAATAATAATAATAATAATAATAATAATTATAATAATAATAACTCGATATATGAAAGAAATGAATTTTAGGAAAATATAACGGAAGAGTTTTTTTTCTCAATACTGCATCTCTATTTATTTGATCTGTTTCTTTTTTTTTATATATATATATGTATATGTATATATATATATATATGTAGGAGAAAGGCATGTGTGGGGGGGTTGGGGGCAGTGGGGTTGGGCGGTCGTTGTTACATTTTATCTTTATCTTTCTCTTTACTCTTTCACTTGTGTTCTCTTCACGAGAGGATGGGAGGATACTTCTCCTCCTTGGTCTCAAAAGACTCTCTCACGAGTATTCTCTCTCTTTCTTTTTCTCTTTCTCTCTCTCTTAGAAAGAGGCTTTTCAGTTGGTCGGGACGAGGACGCGGTGTGTGTGTATGTTTGTTTGTTTGTATATGTTACTGGACCCTGAAAGATTTTTATACGCGTGTGCACAACCGTGTGCAACTCGTGGAGAACACACTCAGGAGCACATTCATTCTCTTTCCTTCTCTCTCTCTCTCGTATTTAAAATAAAAAGGATAAAACAAGAAAAAAAAGGGTTAGCAGCAGGAGGTCGAGAAGGCCTACGAAGCAAAAGAGAGAGAGAGAAATACGGCCGACAAGTCCACAAGCCCGAGGAAAGCCCATCCAAAAACAAACATACTGTTTCTTTCGGTCGTTCATTATGCGCCCATGGCATATTAATTATTTCCCGATAAGCTGTCCTACCTTTCTTTTATTTTATTTCATTTTATTTTATTTCATTTTTTTTTAGTCTTCTTTTTCTTTTTTACTTCATTTCTGTCTTTCATTTTGTATCCTTTATTTTTCCATATCTTCTTCTTCTTCTTCTTTTTCTTTTTCTTCTTCTTGTTGCTAGAATTGCTAGCTTGGTTGGTTGGTTGGTTGGTTGCTTGTGCAACCCTAAGTCTTCGAAACAGCCGGACGCGCATTATGCGAGAAACGGTGCACGCGGCTGCGGTCAACATTAAAGAGAAAGAAGAACAGAAGGAGGATGATTATATAGTTGGATATTTTTGGATCTGCACGCAATATCGGTAACCCCCCCCCNATGTTTTGGCATCACAGTTTGAAATCGTACAGCATCTTTCTTTCTTATCCAAGTTCGTCTATAGTTTTTTTATTTTTATTTGTTTAATATTTCACTCGTATTCCGCGCTTTTTTTTTTCATTAATCAATCAATCAATCACCTTTCGCACTTTCTAAATAATTCTGGAGAAGACAACATTTTTAGTTTATAAAAATACAGTCCCAAGATATATATATATATTTTTTTATGTAGTCCTGCCTTGTAGTTTATCTTTTTCCATTTTCTTTTCATATTTGTTCTTTCATTCTTTTATTTCCGAATCGGGTAAATCGGCTATATTAAATGTCAATCGAATTTCAAGCATGACATCTTATGTACATATAAATGTAATTTAGGAATATCAAATTCTTTTGACATATCGTCAGTCGATTCGTCACAACCCGCATAATGCGTTTTATTTTTTAATCACTTACAAATTGTAGTTATTTATTTCTTCTTCTTGTATTATTATTATCTTTTTTTTTTCTCTTTAAATATGTTACTTTAGAAGACAATTTCGCCGAACGATTTAACGTATGCTTCATGAAGTTTGTTGATAAAATCTGGATCGCTTCTCAATAGATAATTAAAAGCTTGAAGTAGTTGATTCCTTGTCAGCGGTTCTAATGGCCTAGCTAAAGGTTCTGCAGGACTTGGAGCCGCAAACATAACAGGTGGTATCAATGCAGGTGCTAATCCTGTACCCGATAAAGATGGAGTCGTGATAATATCTTCTGAAGCCTGAATTAAATAATGCAGAGATATATGTAAGAAAAATTAGGCATACACAAAAATAAAAATATATATATATATAAAAATATTAATTATTCTTACTGTATTGGAAGGCGCTTGAGCGAATAAAGATGAAAGAGGATTTGTATTACTAGTAGTAATAATATTTGAAGTTTGATGATTAGTTATGTTAGAAGGTGTTGTATTTGTTGGTGATTGTATCCTAAGAAATCCGGATGATCCATTATTTTCATCATTACTTTGGCTTATCGGTGGTTGAAGATCTAGAGAAACTGTTCCCGATGTAGACATTGACGATTCTTGAGAAGCAGTTTTGTTCCTTCTTTTAGACCTGTTTAACAAAGTTAAACTACCTACATTAATCGATGTCGTTGGAGGAGTAGGTTTTAGTGACTGCAATGTTATAGGCTGTGGAGTTATTGATCTCTGTTGCTTTTCGATATGCTCTAATGTGTGCGCTGCTGGATGAGACATTAATCGTGCAAGTAGCAAAGGCTTATTTTCATTTGGGCCTGTAGTTATAGCAGTTGGTTGATCACCAGCTTTGAAATGTCCAGTATTTACCTAAATAATAAAATCATAATAGTAGTTATTGATAACATCAATTTTATAATAATAGGTGTTACAATTTATTTATTAATATAAATTATTTAATAAACATTAACCTTAGCTTTCGCAAAAAAATCCATAACACTCTGAGATGTAACATCGGGACCTAGTGGAGCCATAAGTGGTCCAGAATTATTATCCGTTGCAGGAGTATTAGATGGAGATTTGCTATCGGACGGTTTCCCACCACCTCCACTGTTTGCTCTATTAGTATTAAAATCTTCTTGAGCTTTACTAAGCATACTAAATATATCCACATTATTCTCATTAGATCCTGTATTCTTCTTATTTTGAATAGGTTTATTAGCTGCTTTACGATTTTTTTCAGACTCCATAACGAGTTTATATAACATTGCAGCTATACGTATACACTCTTCTTTGTCATAAAACCAAATACCATAAATATTACACCGTGAATTTCTATATAGTAGAAAAGGTGCTTGTAATTGTAAGTCTAGGCCTTGCGTTACAGGTTCCACTAAATTATTTGTATTCAATCTGTGAAAAAAGATAACGTAAAATTAAAATGTACAACCTTATGAATAAATATAAGTAAAGTATAAAAAGCATAAGCATGCATTTATATATAAGCATAAGCATGTATATATGTACATATATATATATATATATATATATATATATATATATATATATATATATATATATATATATATATATATATATATATATATATATATGCATATATACATGATTTAAAAAATGTAATGAAAAACAAAGATGCAATACCTATTCATTATAAGAATACTATTATATGGCTCGCCATTTCGAGAGTAAACAAATAGAGCACCCTCGATGTCAGTTTTTTCCCACTCGTTATTATCTCCATTAAAAGTGTACAAAGCTACATGGGTCGCTGTCTCGAGAATATCCTTCACGTAGGGGTCAACGCGTTTCAATGCGGCCACGTTCATTCTCAATTCCGTCAAGTCCGTCATATTGTCGGATAACTTTTAACACAAAAATAATAAAATATAAACTTCTTTAATCTAACAATACACGATTCGACTTATTCGAATGAGCTTATAATTAGGAGTCCGGTATTTTGAAGCAAATCGAGCAGCTGCTTCTTATGAACGCCATAACATACTTTAAAGGCTTATACCGTTTGAGCATCGTTGTTGCCAACATTACCGCAAAGTGCGCTATTGTAGGCTTTTGCGTCGGAACGCAACGTTTTCTAATTGGTCGAAATCAAATATCAACCATTTTAATTCTACGAATTAAAAAAAGGCTTGTATTATTCGATATGCTACAAATTAATCGATTATTTTTCAACCAATCGGATTTTGTTTTTATTGCGACAACAATGTACCGGTTACACCTTCTCAAATCTCGAAATCTAAAGGCGGGATGATTGTGAAATACTATTGAATATTGAATATATTATGACGATGTTTCTCTTATTATTCAGTTTATTTTTACTGTTTCAAAGGAATATGTGTAACAAGTTATAGATCATTTACTATTTCTATTTTAATATATATATATTAATATTCGTAATAATATTCATAATATGCAACTATTACAATCAGGCCCGTTTCTATATTTTTAGGAACCCTGTGCGAAATGGAAAATCGGAGCCTCTGAAAGTTAGTGACATATATGAAAATTTAAGAATTTAAATTCGCCACATGTAGAGTAATGTTATCGACAAATTTTAATAATAAAAAGAAGAAATGACCAATCAAAGGAATGAACATAACAATAAAGGAAGGAAAATATTAAAAAAGTGCGGTAAAAATTAAAAAAAAAAAAAGGTAATGACTGAGAAGGGGTTAAATGTACGAATATTTAATTCGTAACATATTTAATTAAAGATTTTCTTCTAACATTTCGTAGATCACAAGAATATTTCTATTGGATGTGAATTAAAGATAGAAAAAGAAGGAATGCGTTTGAAGAAAAAAGTATACAAGATTGAATATTAGCGAGGATTATGCGCGGTGGTTAAGCGCATGGAAAAATTGGGTCGATGTGGGAAAGATGGCGGCAGCAATGTTGTGCGCGTGAGAGAGAGAATAATACTGATAGATAGATTTTTAATGAAAAAAGTAGAAGAAAAGATAAAGTAATGGAAATACCATTGTCTACGTGTAAAGTGAAATTTCCTAATCGGAAGTTCGCATAATGTATCGTAATATCTATCTAAAATATAATCAAGATAATTAGAAGATAAGAGTTTGTTTACGATAAAGTTTGTGACCACCGCAACGTGAAGCCAAGTGTGAAAGGGTAAAAAAAGGGTAGAGAAACGGAATCGAAAAGAAAAGGAGAGAGATTGACTGGTGATTAAATAGTTGCCGGACTTCGGCCCGGTGATTAAATATCAGTAGAAATGCTGAAACAATTGCAGATGGGAATGAGAGCTTTTCTCTTGATGGCTTCCCGCGTGTGGACATGCGTCTGTTTTCTACTCAAGAAGCAGGTTAGAGCCGTAAGTAGGTGCTTCGCGCCTCTTTCTTTCTCTCTCTCTCTCTGTTACAGTTGTTTTTCTTTTTTCTTCCTATCGTATTCGTTTTTTCTTTTCCTTTTTCGGTTTTGTTTTTGTTTTTTTTTTTTTTACCAGCTAGAAAAAGATACACTACTGCGATGTGTCATTTTATCTTTGTACATATATACATAAAAAGTATGCTACACTCAGTGAGAAACAAGTGCACCTTTTTTCTCGTTGCATAATCTTTTATATTTCTTGTATCAATGGCATTGTTATTGTTATGATTGTATGCAATAATATTTTAAATTACATTAAACAATGTTTATTTCCAATCATCACATTTGGGCTTTTGTATTAATCGTAATGGCGAAACTAATTTGATAACAATATTTTCATTGATAATGCAATCTGTTTAAGAGTTTTTAAATTGAATGAATTTGTTTGTATAGATTTCGCAAATGCAGCCAGTTAAGTATGAAATCTTCCCATTATCTCCTTTATCAAAGCATAGACTTAGTAAGTAATATTTTATTCTATTTGTATTTGATTAAATAATTATTTGTCTGTATTATTATTATTATTATTATTATCTATTATGTGATTCTTAAATATGAGTAATATGTATTGCAGGTATAGTTAAGAGAAAAGTATTAGTACTTGACTTAGATGAGACCTTAATTCATTCTCATCATGACGGGGTGGCAAGGCCAACTGTTAGGCCTGGTACGCCTCCAGATTTTGTTCTTAAAGTAACGATAGATCGACACCCTGTTCGATTTTTTGTTCATAAAAGGCCACACGTAGATTTTTTCTTGGACATTGTTAGTCAATGGTAAGATCTTTGTATTAAATAATATCTTAATTTACGTATTTTGTATTAGTTAACACGTTAAATACCATGCTGGTTTTTATGAATCAGCTTTAGACTTTTTGTTCAGGCTACATCGTTCACCAGTGGTTGACATTCTCGTATATAAATTTTCTGGATGATGAATTATCGTGGGCTAAAAAGAAAGCTAAGCAAAAGAGACTTGGTGCTTAACGTGTTAATATTCTATGTAAAATTGATATCATTCTTATATTTAATTTAGGTACGAATTAGTGATTTTCACTGCATCTATGGAAATTTATGGTGCAGCTGTGGCAGATAAATTAGATAACAATCGAGGTATTTTAAGGCGCAGATATTACAGACAACATTGTACTCCAGAAATGGGTTCCTATACTAAGAATCTTTCTGCCATTTGTTCAGATTTAGCTTCTGTCTTTATTCTTGATAATAGTCCTGGAGCCTATAGAGCTTATCCACGTAAGTGATATTATTTGCTTTATTTTATTTTTCTCTTTTTTGTTATAATTGTTATAGTAATAGCGATTTCAATAGTGGTGTATAAACATAGAAAATTTGAATGAAATTTAAAAAAGCTTGTGTGCTTTTGTAACTGTAACTGAAAATATTATTTTTTTGTGATGTTGGACTATTATGTTCTAAATAAATTTGTTAATATAAACTGCGATATATTTATATATACATGTAATTAATTTTATTGCAACAGACAATGCGATACCTATCAAATCATGGTTTAGCGATGCAGGAGATACTGCTTTATTGAATTTACTACCTGTTCTGGATGCTCTACGCTTCACGCAAGATGTGCGATCAGTTCTTTCAAGAAATTTACAATTACATAATACTTGGTAGCATAATTTTAATTGATTGATGTACTAGGCATACTAGCAATCAATCGTGTAATAATTTAGTGTGTCTAGATTAGGATTATTATTGTTATTGGTAAATAGGATGCATATTAGAATGCTGTCCAGATAAATGAAATGACGAACCCCTTACCCTGTCCTCATTTTGTATACTTGTTATGCAAAAGATAGTGAGTCTGTGTCTAAGGGAATGGGATGTTCAGCCAATTACTATATCAGCACAAAAATCTTCTATAGAATAATTTTTGTATACAATTTGATTCGTGATTTATCAAATGAAATATCTGTTTTCTAATTATGCATTTGCCAAAGATGATAAATTGAGAAAAAAATTTGTTAAATTATATTTTACACAAATTCTCTCTCTCTCTTTCTCTTTTGAAGGAGGAGGAAATATTGTTTTATTTAAATCTATTTAAATTTAATTTTGGCAGGCATGGCAATGAAATGATTATTTTGAAATACTTCTATTATTGTACATTATCAATCTAGAATGTAGAAAAGAAACATACTAAGTCATACTTCAAATAGACTTCGCTGTAACTCACTGTATCAGTGAGGCAGCCGTCTGACTTGTGTCTAATATAAAGAAGTATTAAAAATATTTAAAAAGAAACATTTCCTTTGATCAAATTTTTGCTAAAGTTTGAGGACTTAAAACCAGTTGAATTCAACAACCTGTGACATTAATAAAATAAATAAATCAGCAAAATAATGAAAATCTATGCATATACATGTATACTCTGTCCGCTTGTCTAATGATCTAGAATTAATGATGAATATTATGTACATAATAGCAGTAATTAGAAAACGAATGTGTTTATTATGGAGTGGCTAGTGTGTGTGTATGAAGAATGTAATTAAGTCATTAAGAGTATAAACTTTATATAATATTTATTATGAATACATATATATACATATATGTATATATATTAAGATCGATCAGTAAATAAAAAAGAAATATTACAATTGCAGAACATGGCTTTGTTTTGGTCGTATTTTGAAAAAGAGAAAATAAAATAAAATATACAATGAGGAAATAAATAAAAAAAAGAAGAGAAGTATTTAAAATGAAGCAATAATTAGTTACTTTTTATAGATCTTTATATATTTTTTTTATTTAGTAATTTATAGAGAGAGAGAGAGAGAGAGAGAGAGAGAGATACCTTATTAAATTATTTATTATTTATTAAGCTGCAAAATATTGTATTTATATTATACTGAACGATCCATATATACATAATTGTATATATTCGTATAAACATCAAACTTACGTAGTGTTAAAATCTTATTTAAATTAAGACATGCTCATGTGCGCTAGATTGAAGTACCAATAATATGTTCTCAAATAAACAACTTTCAATGGAGAACAATTCTTAATTTTTGATATACAGGATGATCATTGTAAAGGTTGGCACATTAAAAAAGAAAGAAAAGACAAGAAAAAGTTCTTTGTAAGATTAAAAGAGGAAAATAAACGTTTTCCATAGGAATAATTAAAAGTTTTATACGCTTTTCAAAAAAAGTTTTGGTATTATAACGGATTTTGCAAAAGAATTGTATTATAATAAAAATTGTAAAATAATACGCGGGTTTGTTAACTATAAATGAATAACAATCGTCGTATAATTAACTTTAAATAAAATTTTTCGGAGAAACTATATTTGTGATGGGTTTTTTGCTACTTTTACACATTGGTGCGTCAAAATATAAAAATTAATTATACAATTCGTAAATAAAATCTCTTTGATTAAAAAAAAGTTTCTTCTTGAAGTATCAATAAATATAATTCTTTTGATAATCTTTACAATGACTACCTTATATATTAAAGGATTTTTTTACATTGATTTATAATACATTCACATAATTTTAACATGTTTCAAAATAACATTAGAGCTAGCCATTGCTAATAAAAGAAATAGACACAATATATAACAAAACAAAATTATATTATTATACAAAAGAAAACTAAAACAACAAAAATTATTTCCAAATATATAACATATGTGTGTGTGCACATAAAATACTACATATTTAATGTATGTATTCTCTACGTATTCATATAGCATAAAAAAGAATTTTTTTTACGCGAAAAAATTTTTGAAACTTTATTTGATTCTTTGTATTA